GCGCCCTGTAGCTCCAAGTGTCCCCATGGCTCCGTGTGTCCCCTTGGACTGGGCCAACTGTGTGTCCCCAATGTGTCCCCATGTGTCCCTCTGTCTCCACGGCTCCGTGTGTCCCCTTGGACCAGCCCAACCGTGTGGCTCCAGGTGTCCCTGATGTGTCCCCACACGTCCATCCATCCCCACGGCTCCGTGTGTCCCCTTGGCCCATCCATGTGTCCCCATGGCTCCACATGTCCCTGATGTGTCCCCACACGTCCCTCCGTCCCCACGGCTCTGTGTGTCCCCACCGGTGCATCCCTGTGTCCCCTGCAGCTTCGAGTGTCCCCAGTGGCTCCGTCCGTCCCCGTGTCCGTCTCCCCGGCGCCCGGCATCCCTCGCGGTGACGCCGGCCCCGTTTGCTCTCACAGTGGCCGCGCAGCCCCCGCCCGCCCGCAGGGTGTCCCCACCGGGTCCCCCGGCCCCGCGGGTGTCGCCGGCGCCGCCGCCGCTGCAGACGGTGCTGCAGGACCTGGGCGCCAAGCTGGCGCCCTACAACGGCACCTTGCAGCAGCGCCTGGAGAGCTACCTGCGGGCCACGGCGTTCCCGCTGCGGGGCAACCAGACGGTGCCCATGGTGGCCCGGGCCATCGTCACCTACCTGCTGCGCCGCAGCCCCGCCGAGCTGCGCGAGCGCGTCCTGCATCGCCTCCACCACGGCCCCCCGGGGTCCCCGTCCCATGTGAAGCCCCGCGTGACGCCGGGGGCCACCGGCGAGCTCCTGGTGTCCTTGGACGGGCTGCGCGGCCACGCGGACACCGTGGTGATCCGCTACCGGCTGGTGGGGGGGCCTGAGGGCGCCGAGGGGGAGCTGAGGGTGCCGGGGGACGTGGCACTCGCCCGCGTCCCCGAGTTGGTCCCCGGGGCCACCTATCACGTGGAGGTCCATGGTGTGGTGCAAGGACAGGCTTCCAAGTCCTACTCCACTCAGGTGACCACAGGTGGGTGCCGGTGACGGGGAAGGGGACGTCGCCTTGTCCGGGACATGCTCCCCTCCCCACCGTGACCTTCTCCTCCGCTTGTAGGGTCGGATGATGCCAGGGAGCTTCCTCCAGATGAGGGTCCCCAGTATGAGATGGAGGTGACGGAGGGGGCAGAGCCCCATGGCATCGTGGCCGAAGCAGGTAGTCTGAGGTGGCCCAACCAAGGGGGGACCTTCTTGGTGGGTGGGTGGGTGGATGGAGACGTTGGGCGTGGAAAGAGGGATCATAGGAAGTGCTAGAGAGAGGTGGACGGGGATAGCGAGGGAGGGAGGGAGGGAGGGAGGGAGGGATGGATGGATGGATGGATGGATGGGCGGGCAGGCGGGTGGATGCATGACTGGATGGATGGATGGATGGATGGATGGATGGATGGATGGATGAGAGGGTTTAGATGCCTGCCCTGTCCTCTCTCTGTTAGAGATAGAAGAGGGAGCATGAAACGTTGGAGAAGGGGGAAGATCCTTGAGGGAAGGGATGGCTGGAGAGGGGGGCAGAGGTCTAAGCCCTGCACTGTGTCCTCTCAGTTGCAGGCCCTGCTCCATCACAGCAGGAACCTCCATCCCAGCCCCACCTGGGCGAGCTCACAGCCTCCCACGTCACTCCAACCTCCGTCCAGCTCCAATGGACGGTGCCCGAGGGCACCTTTGACTCCTTCACGGTGCAGTACAAGGATGCTCAAGGGCAGCCCCAGGTGGTGCCCGTGGACGGCGAGTCCCGCACGGTGACCGTGCCCGACCTGGTGCCCTCCCGACGCTACAAGTTCAACCTGTACGGGGTGTGGGGACGGAAGCGTCTGGGTCCCATCCCCACTGATGCCGTCACAGGTGAGAGCAACCATGGTCATCATCCTCGTCCCATCCGTGGTGTTGGAGCGGGTCAGGACGGGGCCCAACATTCCCACCATTTTGTCCTCTCCATTGCAGCCCCAGCACCACCAGTAGAGGAGGAGCCTCCATCCCGCCCCCGCTTGGGGGACCTCACGGCCTCCCGCGTCACCCCGACCTCCGTGCAGCTCGACTGGACCGTCCTCGAGGGCTCCTTCGACTCCTTCGCGGTGCAGTACAAGGACGCCCAAGGCCAACCTCAAGCCATGGCCGTCGATGGCGAGTCCCGCACGGTGACCGTGCCCGACCTGGTGCCCTCCCGACGCTACAAGTTCAACCTGTACGGGGTGTGGGGACGGAAACGTCTCGGACTCATCTCTACCGAAGCTGTCACAGGTGGGGACAGTTGCAGACAGTGTCCCAGGTCTCACTGGTCCCTGTTTTCGATGTGGAGCGGGACTTATCTTCATTCCCTTGGGCTTCCTGGCAGATAGGAATATTGGATCATTGAATCGGTGGTGGGCATTGGTGCAAGGTCAGAGGGAGGAAAGGATGAGGTGCAACATGAGAGGTTGCACGGATGGAAAAGTACTGGACAAGATGGGAGACGGAAGGAGAAGCGGATGGATGGTTGGATGGATGGTTGGTTGAAAAGACATCGGGATGGGAAGATGGACAGATGGGTGGAAGAATGGAAGGTGGGATGAATTATTGGCTGGAGAGAAGGGGGTGTGGATGGTTGGAAGCGGGATTCCTGTATCTGTGCCTGGATGGATAGAAGATTTGCTTGGGAAGATGGGTGGTGGGGTACAAGGAATACTGCCTAGATGGACAGGTGGATGGATAGGATACTTGATGTCCACAGCCAAAAGAATCTGTCCATTGCAGCCCCGTCACCACCACGGGAGGAACCTCCATTCCGGCCTCAACTGGGTGACCTCACAGCCTCCCACGTCACCCCCAACTCCATCCAACTTGACTGGACGGTCCCCGAGGGCACCTTTGACTCCTTCACGGTGCAGTACAAGGACGCCCAAGGGCAGCCCCAGGTGGTGCCCGTGGACGGCGAGTCCCGCACGGTGACCGTGCCCGACCTGGTGCCCTCCCGACGCTACAAGTTCAACCTGTACGGNCCCCAGGTGGTGCCCGTGGACGGCGAGTCCCGCACGGTGACCGTGCCCAACCTGGTGCCCTCCCGACGCTACAAGTTCAACCTGTACGGGRTGTGGGGACGGAAGCGCCTGGGTCCCATCTCCACTGACGCTGTCACAGGTGAGAGTGGCTGAGGGCACTGACTTGGTCCCTTCTGGGAGCTGGGTTTGCATCAGGGCAGGAACTTGGCCAGGTAAATGGTCCTGAGTGATGAGAATGGATGAATGGGCGGATGGACGGATGGACGGATGGATGGACGGATGGATGGATGGATGGATGGATGGTTGAGTGTGAGCCTGGTTGGATGTCCTGGTGATGGATGACTTAGTTACATGGATGAATTGATGGAGAGATGCAATATGGGTGGGTGTCTCTCTGTCCCCAACATGTCCTGCACTGTCCCCTCTTCACTGCAGCCCCATCTCCACCAGAGGAGGAGGAGGAACCTCCATCCCAGCCCCAACTGGGCGACCTCACAGCCTCCCACATCACCCCCAACTCCATCCAGCTCCAATGGACGATCCCCGAGGGCTCCTTTGACTCCTTCACGGTGCAGTACAAGGACGCCCAAGGGCAGCCCCAGGTGGTGCCCGTGGACGGCGAGTCCCGCACGGTGACGGTGGCCGACCTGGTGCCCTCCCGACGCTACAAGTTCAACCTGTACGGGGTGTGGAAGAGGAAGCGTCTGGGTCCCATCTCCACTGATGCCGTCACAGGTGAGGGTGGCTGACAGCATTGCCCCTGCCCCCATTGGAATTAGAGTAGGGGAGGAGTGTGGCCGTTACCCATCTTCATCCATTTGACTCTGCTGGGAAATGGGGAGGCCTCTTGAATACGGAATTTTGTAGGTTACAGGGATGGGAGCATGCAGGGATGGGGAGAAGGATGGATGATGGATGGGTGGATGGATGGACAAACAGAAGGAATCGGAGGATGAATGGTGGGACCATCTCCATTGACAGAGAGATGCTGGATGGGTGGGTCACTCTGTCCTCAAAGTGCCCTGCACTGTTACCTCTCCATTGCAGTCCCAGCCTCACAAGAGGAGGAGGAGGAGGAGGAACCTCCATCCAGGCCCAGTCTCGGTGACCTCACGGCCTCCCACGTCACCCCAACCTCCATCCAGCTCCAATGGACAGTCCCCGAGGGCACCTTTGACTCCTTCACGGTGCAGTACAAGGACGCCCAAGGGCAGCCCCAGGTGGTGCCCGTGGACGGCGAGTCCCGCACGGT